AAGTCACCCATGACAACCATGGTCCTGGAGCATGTGGCCTCAGCCAGTTCCCGGGCAAACTCCTGGTCAAGCTCAGGACTTTGGGTGGGAGGTCTGTAGTAGACTCCCACCATTGTGACCCCTGTGCTGTGTTCCCCACAGATTTTAACACCAGAGGGTCTCCAGCCGTCCACCCTGGTCGCCAATATCGGCTTGCAGGGACGTGTAGCTTTCCTTAACATAGAGAGCTACCCCCCGCCCCTTTTCTCTACACAATCCCTCCTGTACAGGGAATAGCCATCTATACCTGTGATCCAGTCATGGGTGGAGTCCCACCAGGTCTCTGTTATCCCTATGACATCATAATTATTTGCATTGAGCAGGAGGATGAGTTCCTCCTGCTTATTCCCCAAGCTCCTGAGCGTGAAATCTGTGGAAAAGCCAGGCAGTTCTCTCTGGTGAGGGTCTGATATTCCAGAAGTAGGGTAGGCCACAAAAGCAGGGAGTGCTCCCTGCCAGCCCCTCTTTATTAGGCCAGGCCCTTGTAGTCAGAAAACAGCTAGGACTGTGGTTCAGGTTTCTGGAATGCTTTGCTGGGAGACTGTAACAGGGAACCCTAGCCCTGTTACCAGAAGGCAGGTTGGCCCCTTTAAGACCAGAACTTCCTGGGCACAGCGTGCTGGTAAGGTGGAGGATAAAAGCTGAGCCTGGCCAGCTAGTCAGGTGACCGGAAGTGGGCAGGCCAGAACTATAAAAAACCTGGGCTGGGCGGCAGTAGGGGCTAGCAGCCAAAGGGGAAGGAGTGCATATAAGAGCTCCACGGAGAGGCTTGGTGAGTGGCCCAGCTGCTGCAGGAGGAGAACTACTGAGGACTCTCAGAGAAGCGGCGGCAGCCCCAGGAGAAGGACTGTAGCAGACGGTGGGGAGCAGAAGCACAAACCCCTGAGAAAATGTAAGCTGGCATGCTGCCTTCTTTAATTATACTTTTTGGAGGTGGTTATAGCCCATGGACATATTGTTTATAAATTTTGATTGATTAACAACTGGTGATTTGGGTGAGGGTATTGGGGAAGGAAGAGGCCTCATTGTGGGGGGGCTCACTACAGCGTGGGGACCCCAGCACCAGAGAGGGCACAGTATTTGGGGTGCACAGGCCCCAGCACCAGAGAGGGCACACTATTTGGGGTGCACAGGCCTTGGCACCAGAGGGCGCAGTCATAAAAGGCCAAAGTGCACCTGGGGTGCAGCTGTGTGTTTTGGACTGGGACAGTGGAGGTTTGGGGCCGCTGCCTGGCTTTGAACTTACAGTCCCCTGGCTGCAGGGCCAGAGGATGGGCCTCTGGGCCAGAGAGGCTGGGCTCCAGATTGGGGGCAAAAAGGAGGGCCACGAGCCCCAAGACCAAGGAGCCTCGGAGTCAAACCCTATCTGGTGGGTTTAGACGGGGAATCCTTGCTAGAGAAAGACAGGGGTCAAGGCCTCTGGTGGCGGAGAACCCCAACATACAAAATACAATAGGCAGTCTCCCGCTTACAAGAACTTCTGTATAATATTTCCATCAAGACGTGGCAGGCGAGTAGAAAGCGGGACATGAGAAACCTTAAGGGGACTTCAAGGGCGCCCCTCATAGGTCGCGGATAACAGGCAAAAGATGGCACTGGGGAGGGCGACCTGTTACAGAGATGCTCTTTGTACAGAGCTCTCTTCCTTCACAACAAGAGAGATCAACAAAGAGCCACAGGGCTTTCTTTTAAAGAAAGGGGCATCTGTTCATACATCTGTTTTTAACTTGAAAAACCTATTCAGACAATCCCTTTTGGGGAGGCATTATAGCAACCCAAACTGCCTTTGCCAGGGGAATTTTTTATATAAACTTTGAAAATAATTTCACAGGAATGACCTTTATTGTGTTTGTGCTACAATTTCTAAGACGGGGACTCTGGTATTTCAAAAGGGGGAACTTCTTCCTATGGGGAACTTCTAGGGATGTGAAAGCAACTGAGGTCATTCTTTTAGGGGGATGAGGTGTCATAAGTGAAGTAGGATGCTCTCCAGTTGTCTTTATCACTCTCCTATATCTTGTTCACTTGACTTGAATAGAAAAATGTCTCAGTCTCCCTACAAATCTGTGTTTCAGCAATATGTGGTAACGATGGAGAGAAATCTTATAGTTATGGCACTGACCTGGAACATAGGAGATTTAGACTCACTTCTAGTCACTGCCACAGACATGGTGTATGACTTTAGGCAAGTCATATTTTTTCTGTTTCTTCATTCCCCATTTCTAAAAGGGAGATACAAAAATACTCCTTTTCTCCCATATTTTGTTTTGTCTATTTAGGCCCAAATTCTGAGATTTACAACTTGTGGCTGAATTATTGGGCTCACACAAAGCCACCGGGGTCCTGAATGGCTGTGGAAGACTGCAGGGGCATTAGAAATTGCTGGGGTGAGGCCTTAGATTTAATGCTTTTCAGGGAAAAAAGACTATCCTTGGCTAAACAGAGACTATCTTTGGGTAAGGCCATTTGTAGATGACATGGGGGTTTACTTTGCCCTAAATTGAAGTGGTGATTTTTTAAAAACACTGCTTCAATTTAGGGCAAATTAAACCCCTGTGTCTGGTGAGCAGAGCAGTCCCTGAGCTGGGGGGGGGGACTGGTACATCCCTCCACGGCAGTGGCAGCCTCCCCGCAGGCAGCACCCACCCACAGGCACCTGGCTTGGGCAGTTCCGGGGGGCACCACAGCCACGGAAGGAAGTACCAGGCTCCCACACAGCTCAGGCAGGCAGGTTCCGGGGGGAGATCAGGCTTGCCACATTTTTTTTTCCCCTTCTGTGGAGCCTGCCTTCCTGGGCTGCTGCTCGGCTGCTTGCACGGTCTGCCTGCAGACCCCCTGAGCCACACAGAGCCCGATGCTTCCCTCTGTGGCTGTAAGGTAGAAAACTAAAACTCCGCAGAGGTGTTTTAGTTTGCAGCATCCCAAAGTCATTTGCTGCATCCCAAAGTCATTTAAGGCATATTACGCTGCCGAATGTGCTACAGTGCCAAATATTCAAACTCGTGCAAGCAGCCCTTAAAGTGATGCAAAAGACATTTAACCTGCTTTAAACCCTCTTTAAAGTGTCATCTACAAATGGCTTAAGTGTTTGCATAGATACTGCTTAGTGAGGCTCTAATTTTTAGATGCTCTCAAAATAGGAATAATTAAGAATAGTAATGTCACATTTAAATTTTTTTTCTACATTGTACCATTCAGTATCCACAGAAAAGCTCTAGTTGTATCTCATTAACTAGCTCTTTATCAGCACGTGGAAGATGATACACTTACCCCATAACACACTTAAAAACGCAGAGAGGGAGCAGGAGGGAAAAGGAGAAAGCCAGATGGCTCTGACACTCCTTTCCCTGGTACACTGCATTAATATTCCAAGTATAATTATGTAACTGTTTGGGTAGAAATAAACCTGTGAACAAACTACCACTACCAAGTGAAGCCACTGCTTCAGACATGTCTAGATCACAGCCTACTAACATGAGAGTGCACTAGAAATTATGTCTAACAAAAGCTGGAAGGCCTGCATAGGGCAGTGGCAGGGAAAACCTCAACAGTGGCCTTTTGACTGGCTGACCTCCCACTGGCATGAAATACCTGCCTATGCTCTCTGAAGACAAATGCAATGTAGGAAAACAAAGCACTGACTTTCTGGCTATCACACTTAAAAGGATTATAAATTAATCCAGAACATCTGAGAAGAGGGATTAGCAGTGTCTCATGTTATGGGAACCCTTGTTCTCTATTCAGTACATGTGACAAATCAGACCAACAGCCAAAAACCATTCAGCCATGTGCACATTTGAACTGCACAGGAAGTTGAATGTATGGGCTATTGGTCCCTTTTTACAATCCTGTATCCAGGGTCTTGTGGACTCTGCAACAAACAAGACTAAAATTTGCGATTGTAGCACTCCCTGTTCAGATGCTGTGGCAGTGCTGTGTGATAGGATCTCTCCGCTTGCTGCAATGGTTTTAAAAGCTTTAAAAATATTTTTAAGCAAACAGCATGACTAAACACCACCCCAGGCATTACATTTAAAATAATACTAATCTTGTGGTATACATTGATAGCAACAACATTACTCCTACTGTTTGACCATTTTTTCACAAAGGCCTGAGCAAGGAGAGTGTCAGGCTTAACTCTTGATTTTCAGGGTTTCATTGAATGGGTTCATAATATTAGTTTCAATATTTTTCTTTATATTCAATATTATTACATTGCAGCCTGATGCATAGAACAGCCTAGTACCTGGCTTGGCTTGGTTCCATGTGCTTTGCTAGGAATTATAAGCAACTGGAGTGAATCTGCTCTGATTTATAGAACAATTCAATTTACAGCCAAGTACAACATGGTGATTACAGCTGGCTTTCTGTATTTTGCAGTCCTTCTGACCTTTACGCACAAGGAAGTGCCAACCTGCATGACTAAAAGTCAAAGAAAACTAAAAAGCTTGATTCCTGCCAGCTGTCCATGTCTATGGCTCTTACAGGCATCAGCAGGGATTCCACATGTAGCTACCTGCCAATTGTAAGCCTTAAACTAGCCTGTTTTTGATAATTCTTGTCATAGTACTACTGTCCTTTTCTTTTTAATTCATGTAGTGTGATATTATTCACAGAGGAAAGAACCAATGTGGAGTAGATTGCTTAATTACCTAATTACCGGCTTAATGAGGATATGTTAACTGACCAATTAAGATAAAAATCAATGAGCATAAGACAAGCTTTCAATTTCTTTTTCACTCTTCTCTCTTTAATGTGCTATTTGATGTGGCATGACTGTTGTCAATATTAGCTGTCACTTTTTAATAAGCATTGAAAACTGGGTAATTTCATTTGGATTTTAATAATTGATAGTGAATGTTAAAGGCTTGTTTTGACAAGTGTTTTAGACCCCCTCCACCCACTCTGACTCTGCAATCCTATCTCCCCATTTGGGAGTGAAACTGGAAAAGGATGAGAGTTATGGTCTAATTTTCTATCCTCTTCTGGCAGTTTACAGTCCAAATCCAGGGCCCTGATGCTGAAAAAATACTATTCCACTGGGAACTGTTAGTCCTCTGCTTCTTATATCTTTCAGGTTCCTGACCTGACTTTGAGCAGAAGGTTCGACTAGATGACTTCCTGTGGTTCTTCCAGCCCTACTTTTCTATGATTCTATGACCTTTTCTTAGAATGTAGCCTTGGGTAGATTTAAAATGTAATGATTGATTATTTTTGGCTCTTCCTGTAGCTCAGACCCCGTGAAATAAATTCATCCTTGGTATAACTCCATTACATTTTAAAGAATTCACAGCAGGTAAAATTAATCTTGTCCCTTGACTTCAGCTCATTTGGTAAGATTTCACTTTCTACATCTTTTATAGATGTCATAGATTTCCTAGACATTAGGGCTGAAAGGGACCTTGGAAGATCGAGTCCAGCCCCCTGCCCCAGGGGCAGGAAGTCAGTTAGGGCCAAAGGATCCAAGCAAGATAGGCATCCAAATGTGTCTTAAAAGAGTCCAGAGCAGGTGCCTGCACCACCTACAGAGGGAATCTATTCCAGGCCTTGAGGGCTCGGACAGTAAAGCAGTTTTTCCTTACATCCAGCCTAAAATGGTCTTGGAGGAGTTGGTGACCGTTGGACCTTGTCATCCCATGGGGTGCTCTGGTGAACAGTGCTCCCCCAGATCCTGATGTACACCCCTTATATACTTATAGGAGCCACTAAGTCTCCTCTGAGCCTGCACTTTTCCAGGCTGAAGAGTTCCATGGCTCTCAGCCTTTCATCATAAGGCCTATTCTCTTGCCCTCTGATCATGCGCGTGGAAAGGCAACCGAAAACAAATATTGTTATTGTAGCTAACAAATATAGTTTACCTTGAGCCATCCTGCATAGAAGAAGAACTGTAACAATGTAAAGACTGGAATGTAAAGATCTAACTCATGCCCATTATATCCTTGGTCGGGATCCAAAAATTGACGTCCTATCAGGCATGCAAAGAAGAAGGTATAGACAGCAAGAGTGACGACCTAAAATGAACAAAATCTCCATTGAAATCACAGAGCAAAAAATATGTATATACAAGGCACCACATTCCTAAAGGGATCTGGGTGCCTAACATAATATTGTTCTAAAATCTGTAGGCTTTAGACAACAAAATGGCAGCATGTTGTATTGGTGGCCAGGGACTGAGTCCAGGAGGAACTCAAAAATTTAATTTATAACCCACCTTATCATACCAGAAAAGCTTCCTAGCATCTTCAAGTCAAATATCACCTAAAATGTATGGTCATCCAAAAGCCCAAGCCCAAGAAGGGAACTACTGAATACTCAGTATCTCTGAGACTCAGACCCTTTGTCAGGGTACCTAATATGAATGTAGGAGCCTCAAGCTTCCATTTCTGCAAATCTTGCTCCAAAATTTGGAAATGGTAATAGCTCAGTACCTGTGTATAGACCAGTGGAATTCCAACCCAGTCATAACCAAACAGAAGGCTACACCAAGACCGGTATCTAATCATTTCCTAAATAGGAAACAAAACAACACACATGACAATTCATAATTTTGACACTTGATAGAATGTTTTGGTACATTTATTTCACATAAATGAAAGTCTATAAAGTAGAACATTGGTCTGTGTGTATAGAATATAAATTTATTTATAAATAAATCCAGGAACTCATTAACATATTTGAAAGTTATACATAGGACTTACAGTGCTTGGTTGTATACTCAGGCCACATCTACACATTACACTTAGGGTGTGATTAACTAGTTAATAATACCTTAAGTTGTGATCCAGCCACAAATTCAATCAAGTAATGGCATGATAAAAGAAGCGATAAGCCACAAAGTAATTCCACAAAAATGTGTAATAATTTTGCTGCTGCTGCTTATCACGCTATTGAACATGAGGCCCAGTGCTCCCATGTGGCTGGGAGCCCCATCAACTGAGAGACGCCCAGCTGCAGAAGTGTACCATCCACTGCTAGTCCCACAGCTGATGACACTCATGTTTGGGGATAGTGCAGGGATTAAATTATAGACCTGGACAAACACTATATAGTTATTTAAGTATAATTTTGTATAGAATTTTTCTACTCACATTCATCAGGGTCTGCAGGTCCACACTGTCTCTGATTCTACCTTCTTTTCGTGCCTTAACTGCCAGATTTCCGAACCAGATAAATGGAACCCAATATTTAAGATGGGGAGACGCCAGCTTGTCAAATAATTTTTTTTCATCTGCTGTCATGAAACCTGCTTACAAAAGGAAAAGGGTTGATTTGCTGTGTGTGACAGGGTGCAATTAACTTACAATTGTGAAGTTCTTGTTCTGAAATACATTTTTATTGAACATTAATTTCCATGCAGCTCTGGACATATTGCGATGTGAGAGAGTAATCTTAGTACAAAACTATTGTGAACTATACTTAAAGTTAGGACCCGGTTTAAATTGCAGGCCTGTATTGTTAACATTATGGACCAATCAAGGTGGGGGCCACCATTTTTGCTCCTAGATCATGGAGGCCCTGCCCCCCCCCCGCCCGATTGGCTGAGGGGGCAGGTTTAGAACTAAATTTAATTGCAGTAATAGAGGCCTTGCTCCCAAGATTCTTGTTTTCTGCTTAAAACAGAACAGGCGTGATTCTTGTCAACCTCTTCACAAGAGCTCTGTTCCGCCCAACTTCCCAGCCTGTCTAGGTCCACCTGTATCTGCAGCCTATCTTCAAGCATGGCCATGCTTCCCCATAACGTGGTGTCATCCGCAAACTTTGCCAGTGAGCTTTTCACCCCCCCATCCAAATAGTTAATAAAGATGTTGAAAAGTACTGGACCAAGCACTGACCCCTGCGGGACACCGCTGCCCACTTCTCTCCAAGACGATACAGATCCATTCACTATGACTCTCTGAGTCCTATCCTGCATCCAGTTTCTCACCCACCTGACTGTCTTGGAGCTAAGCCCACAATCCTCCAATTTTACTACATAAAATTCTGTGGTTATATGAACTGTTACAGACCTCTCTGATACAATAGTCTAAAAATAGCTTGTTTTCTCACACACTGCTGTTACTTCTGAAGTATTGCAGATGTACAAGGCTCACTATTTCACAGACCACTCTCTGATTTAGTACTCTATTTTTAGGCAATGAGGACTGAAATAATGCCAGTCAAAAGATTATCCCTACTCAACAATAATGGCTTGTTATGGTGACTTGCAGCTTATTAAAAAGTGACTGGGGACACAGGACTTTCTGTTGCACTAGAGCTTCAATACAGTGAATGGGCAGCAATCAATAAAAGTATAATTAGTAAATCAAGTTTAGTGGGGAAGGCATTTACTGCAACTAAAATGCTTCTGTACTAGATGTTATTTCTTGTTTCCTTCAGACTTATTAAGGAGTCCTAAGAGATGGATGAAGAATTATGCTCAGAAATCCCACAGCTACAGAGACAACAGACTGAACCATGTTCCCTAGACCTGCAGAAGGAAGGCAACCTTTGCATGGCAGCCTGCCCTACTTACTTCTGAGCCAGGGTGCTATTATCTTTCATACAGCCTTCCCTGTGTCCTGTGAAACTTTCTGTTTGACTATTACAAGAGGATTTTGGGGAAGATGGAGTTGGAGCTAGGGGAGTTTTTCTAGCAACTCAGCTCTGCAGGAATGATGCTGTTTAAAGCTGAAGTGGAAGCAGCTGGCTGAAGAGGTGGTGCGAAGGCCAGGGACCTTTGTGCAAGGCCTAGGCTGCAGGTCAGTCTCTGCATTAGGAAAAATGGCTTCTCCAGGTCTTTTCCATCCTCTTCTCCCTGCTGCGTTAATGGCCTGGGAAAAATCATCCTAGCTCCTGGCTCTGATTTCTGTAGGAAATAAACTGCCCCACTGTCACATGCGATCTAATCCCAAATTTCAGTCTGAGGAAATAATCGTTTTCTGAACAGCCTAATGCTAACAGAACTGTGTTTTTAAAATGTATTTAGTATTGTGTTCAATGAAACCTCAGCATCCCTGCATTGTTCTGCTGCCTGTGAGCCAGAAGGTGAGCTTAGTGAGAAAGTGCCTGTAAGCTAAAGTCTCTTAGAAAACCCTAGACATGAGGGAAATGATTGGCTCCTTGGTTATGTCCATTTCTTTTGTGCCCGAGTTCTCTCTCACCTGTGTTATTGTGAGCTCCTTGATTTTCATCCAGTCTGTGCAAAGCACAGCAGCTAAAATAATCTTTTGGACAATCTAAAAAAACTGACTTTGATCTCATACTATTAGTTGTTATTTTATTGTATTTTATAGCAGTGCTTATAGGTCACAGGGCCCTATTATGCTAGGTGGTGTGTTAGTACATAGGCTGCAATCTTATACTTATTCACCTGCTTAACCTTGCTCCTAAAGCAGCCTTGTTAAAGTCAGGAAGCAGGCGGATAACTGTTTTCAGGATAAGGGCCAAAACAACAGACAGATAAACAAAGGGTGGGAAGGAAAATAGAGATGTGAAGTGGCTTGAGTGATCTTTTACCATATTCTTTTTATGTACATGATAGTCAGGGTTGGATCCGGGGGGAATACAGTGATGCAGTTGGTCCCCCAACTTTATTTCCTGGTTCACCCAGAGTTTAAAACCAACTGCCTGGGCCTGCAACAGCATTTCTATTCAGGCAGCAGTGAGAGAATCAGTTGACTTCATGGATGATTGTAAACTACCTGCTTCCTTCTAAACTATTCAGTACACAGGTGTTAATGCCCCTATCCCCTTTTTAATGGTATTGATGTTCTAATCAAGCTGTCCTTTCTTTTGCAGTTCTGTTATTTGTTAGTTGCTCCTGGTAATCTAGCTCCTATTTCACCACCCTGCAGACTGCTTTTAACTATAGCTAAAAACATTAACTTAGATGTAGAACTGTTAACTCACATGAACATTAACTTGGGTGCAGAAATAGCTTTCAGTGCAATCCTGGATGCACTGTCAAGCTGCTCAAGAAGACTAAGTTTTGTTTTATGAATCTGAAAGAGATGAACATTTGATTCTAAAGACTACAAGACTAATGAAACAACAGCTTTAACTTATTTTTGCCTCGTTGTATTTTTTATTCACAGTACATGATATAACAAATGAATGCTTTGATCTTAAACTGAATAATATAGCCCTAGCCCCTTGGCATATTAGCAAAGCCTCCAGTTTCTTCTTAGTTTCTGGAGAAAAATGTGTTGTGTTATATTTGATTATGCATTACACCATCTCCACTCCTCTTTTCAAAATCCTAAATTCACCCATGAAGATAATGACATCATTTAAGGTAATACATTACTACTTTCCCAGTATATTTCTGTAATGGGTTTTGCTGTGTAAAGGTGGAACATCCTAGAGCTGAGGTAGAAGGAGTTTAATTCCAGGTTTCAGAACCATTTCAAGGAGGCAGTCCCATGTGGGAACTAATTTGGTACTGATGAGATTATTCAGTAAGAGCAGTTTCAAGGTGTTTGGGGAGCAATGGAGTTTCCTAGTTTGCTTTGTATGGCTTGTTGGTTTGGGACTCCTGCTTGGGGTGCTACATGAGAGCTTTGGGATATGTATTGTATTGTATTAATTTGGATTAAAGCAAGTCTCATTAAATCAAACCCTATACAGAGATGGTAATTTGTTCTCAAACATAAGAGCCAGTTGTAAATGCATGTCAATTATTAATAGCGGTTATAGTGCAGTCATAGTATGTCAATAATTAATTAGAGTTATAATTCTGTTGTAATAGTTCGTATTCGTCTTCTATAGGTTTTCTGTATGAAGGTAGTCTGTATTATGCACCCATTCAGCTGAAGAATCCCTGGGATGTCCTCCTTCGCAGGGGACCTTACGCCCATAATCTCACCTACCATGACTTGATAATAAGAAAAGGGATGTCTAGGAGGGAGGTTTTTCTGCGAGGATGATCCTAGGATTTACCTTAGTACAATGAGGGCTCCACCTTCCCCTATACCCTCTCCCATTCCACCGGGTAGGTAACATGAATAATTGATTGTTCACGGGGTTTCACCCCAATAGATTCTTGTTTTCTACTTGAAACAAAACAGGCGTGATTCTTGTTAACCTCTTCATAAGAACTCCGTTCTGACCTTTGACGTAATGTCCCTGGGCTACACAGCCTGATAGCCACTACTCAGGCAACAAAGTGTTATCACAGTTCTGCTCTCTGCAGCAAGTTGCCCTCACCAGGTTCAGTCAAAAGAAGGAAGAAACTAAAGAGGCAATTCTTGGTTTACCATTGTTGTTTAAATCAGAGCTTCAACCATGCTCTTTGATTTATTCCCTGCCGGCTGAGCTGCCGAAGCTCAGGATCAGGGCTCCTGCATTGCAACCTTCACAGTGATGTCCTGATCAGCTGCAACCTTGCAGCCTGCCTTAGGACTGCTGGAGCTTGCCTTTTCCCCTTCCCTGCTCAGTGAATTCTCCTCTCTCTGCTCCAGGGTGGACACTTCTGGTTCTGTTTTTTCCTCCCAGTGTCCTGGAGTCCCAGTCCTTTTCTTTTCCCCGGTCTGCTCCAAGTTCCTCTTTAGCCTGGTTCTTGGGCTCCTCTCCCCACTCCGACAGAAGCACCAGGGGAAAAAAAGACTCTTTTCGAGCAGTTTGGCTATGTTGATGGTGCCACTGCAGGTAAGCACATGCTACACCTTGATCCTCCTTTCCCTTCCCTGGGTGTTTCTTTCCTACCTCACAATGCATCATTTGGTTTGCTGACTCTGTCCCTGAAATGGATTCTAATAGCTGGTGGATTCTTATATCTAACAAGGCAGTGTAAGAGTTAGCCATGAGCTACGGACTGCACTATAACAGTGATGTAATTATAGTACGTTGTGTAAATTTATATATAAAAATGTCAGTATGGCACATCTTAAAGCACAGAAGCATTGGGGAAAATAACTTTGATAAAATGGAGCTTATTAGTTCTCAGGGTTTCCCACATCAAATCTTCTCAGTGGAAATTAAAGAGATAGTATTTCAGACTTTAAGTGCTGCGTGTTTGAAGATCAAGCTGTGTTCTCTCTGATCTCTCCCATGTAATACAGATTTTGCAATCAGGATGCCAAGTCTAATTTTGCTAATGATGCATGAAACAGCACAACATAGAAAATATATGAGAACATATTCAATTGGTTTTGTAAGTAAAGTAAGTGGATAAGATGCTATGACAGAGCACAAGATGTTGGTGCCTGCCACTTTAAGGTCTGAGCCAAGCAGCCAGAAGGTGCTTGATTGCAATGGCCATTTTAGACTTCTGGCTGCCTATATAAAGAGAGCAGTTCACTGCTGGCAGACAAGGCAGAACCATTGCCTGGCTGCAAGGCTGCATGCAACATCCTAGAGGTAAGGGCAGGAGCTGTAGGGGATGGTTTGGAGGCTCCTGGTCCTGGGCATGATGTAAAAGTGCACCCTGCCAGGAGTGGGTGGCCTGGTGGGGCTCTCAGTGGTGTGGGAACCCCCAGGAAATACCAGACCAGTTACCACCCTGGTGAAAGGCGGGTCAGGGCGCCTTAACCCCAGCTCCCACAACCGGGTGGGTTAACACGTAGCTGGGCCAAGAAGGTGGACCCAAGCTAGAGAGGGGGCTAGAGACTCATAGACCTGACTTGAAAACCCTTGACTGGTCAATGCTGGGGCCAGGACTGGAAGGGTCAAAAGGCCCAAGGGCCCACCATGAGGGACGCCCAGAGCTGAGGGCCTGGGGTTTCCAACTGGCCTTGGAGGTGAGGCCAGGGCCTGTGTGGCCAAAGGTCCTGGGGGAACCATACCCGAAAGGGGGAACAGTTCAGGGAGCTAGGCAGTGCAGAATGAGGGCAGAGCAGGCTGCCTGAGTGGAGGGATTTTGTAGGGGTCTGGATTTGAGGATTCTGGGGCCCAGTGTGGGACCAGTGAGGTTAACATCTGTGGATGCCATCTGCGAGGCTTGGGCTGCAGTGTAGGGGAGGAACGGAGCCACAGATAGTGCCCCCTGGCATCGGGGCAAGAAATGGGCAGCTTCCCACCTAATTAATATCCTAATTATAAATTATCAAGGCATGGAAGGAGAGAAGGCGGGCGGTTGGCCCAGAAACAGGTGGGTGGGCCAATGGTAGATCGGCCCTGAGAAGGCTCCCTGTTACAGATGGAAATAGATTTGTTGAACAAGAACAAGATATTTTGACACATTCTCTTTTTTCTGAGTGCTAATTGCACCTTCAGTAATTTACAGATACAGAAATCCAAGACACGCTTTCTCTTGAGAAGGACATGAGACGTGCTGCAGATATTGAGTGTAATCAGGAGAAGATTATGGTATCCTTGAGTAAGGTAACAAAGTACAATGTCAATGTAAGAAACAGCACTTTTGGATAGTTCTGCCATTTAATAACAAAACAGGGTGCAGTGCTGCTGCCACCTTTAATAATCTAAAAATAATGCTCTTACTGCACAATATATTTACTACAGCATTTGAATGTGCCTTAGATTTTATGTTGGCCATACTTGTTGCCCTAGAGCAACAGCAAGAGTTTTCAATAAAGTTGGACTTGAGATATTAGCATACAAGAAAACCTATTTTTGGAGTGAGTTTCAGATACAATTCACAGGAGAGGCTCTCTGAAGTCATTATCTAGGAGAGCACAGTTTGAATTGCTTATAAAAAGCAATAGAGCTCCAATCAATAATCAATTCTGCTTTCTAGTCACACAGGGCCTGTACAGAAGTTACACTTGTTGCTCGTTAAGTGCACAGAAAGTGCTCTAAAGCTGTAACCAAACAGATGGTCATAGCACATCAAATGCTTTAGAAATGGTGGATTGCATTTGAAGTTAACCCTGAATGGATGTGGTATCAGACTAAAGCGCTTTAGGTTACAGCGCTTTATCTAACTACATCCCATCCTGAGTTAAGGCAGGTCACATTTGCCAAAATCCTAGGAGCCCCTTGCTGGGTGTCTTCCTAGCCTCAGCCAGTGGTTATCTGCTCCAGGAGAGCACCAGCCTTGCCCCCAGACTGTCACAGAGAGGAGACCGAAAAGGCTCTGTCTACTCCCTGTGCTGCTGGGTAGGGGTGGGGTAACCAAAACTCCCTGCTGCACAGAACGCCAAGAAGTTTGTGGGCATGGGTCTTAGTGGGAGCTGATCCAGGCCTACTCAGCAGAGAGGCTCTATTTCCCCCAACCCCTCCCCAGCCACAGTTCCTCGTGTGGCAAAAAGCAACGCAGCCCTGAGCTGTAGATCCTGGCTGCAGGTGGGGAAATGAAGCCTGTAGTATGGGGACAGGTCAGGGCTGGGGAGAATGGAGTCTCTGGTATGGGGGCAGAGCAGGGCTGGGGAGAGGGACCCGGTGGCCAGCTGCTCAGCTGGGCTTGACACTCTCCAGCAACCTCCTGGGAAGCATGCAGGAGCGACGCCAGCCTGCTGGCCTCAGCCATTGCAGGCAGGCTTTGAGCCCCACACTGAAGTGCCCATGTGTTCTGCTCAGTCCTGACCTAATCTAGAGTGCTCTGAGTAAAGCAGTATACTTATAGCATATCTACCTTGGACTTTTTGAATGTCTGTATTCAGCTCTGTATCCATTTTCACATAGGAAAAAGCGTTCTTTCTAATATTCAGGTTCTAACAGTCATTATTTTAAAAGTCAAGATATTTATATTAATGAACAATTAAACATTCTCTTTGAGACTTTCTAAGGGGCATTAACATTGGGAGCTATTATTCTTATCTCTGGAAGCTTTGGATTGCTACAGGGGTGTAGGTTGTAGCCATGTTGGTCTAAGGATATAGGCAGACAAGTTTCTTTGGGTGAATCTGATCTCTTTTATTAGACCAACTAAATAGTTGGAGAACAATATTTAAGCAAGCTTTGGGTTCAAAAACCCTTCTTCAGGCTAAGGAAGTTTCTGCAGTTGATGTGTGCTCTTCCTGGATGTAATGAAAAGTAAAAAAGCCAGAGGCTGGGCTTGTAGGCATTACCAAAATCAAATATCTCTAACTATTTAGTTGGTCTAATAAAAGAGATCAGATTCACCCAAAGAACCTTGTCTGTCTTGGATTGCTGCAATCATTCATGAAGGATAAGGTAAAAGAACCTATAGAGTAGTACTCAACTGTTATTTTTATTGCTGTAATAGGGAAGTACTTTCTGTTCCCTCAATAACTAAGTGTGAAGTTAAGCAGCAACTTTTACCATTAGACATTTTAAAATGTGTAAAATATGTATCAAAGAGTATTAAAAGAATTGAGTGAAGAGCTCTCTAAACCAGAAATACTGATTTTTATTTATTTATTTATTTATTTTAACAATACTTGGAATGTTGGAGAAGTTCTAGGGGGCTAGAAAAAAGCTAATATTGTACCAATATTTCAAAGAGGTAAATAGGATGATTCAGGTAAGAATAGGTCAATTGGCCTGATTCTGATCCCTGGCCAAATCATGAAGAGGCTGGTATGGATGCAATCAGTAAAGAATCAAAGGCTGGTAGTATAATTAGTGTTAATTAACATGGTCTTATGGGAAATAGGACTTGTTAAACAAAGTTACCATCATTTTTTATGAGAACGGATGTTTGGTTGATAGTGGTTATAGACTCACTCTGACTCTCCTCCTCCCTCTTCTAATTTAATTAATGTTTATTCATTACATGCAAAATGGAACCATCTCAACAGGAGGAACTGTGTGCACCACCTCTTCCATGTAAGTGCCCGTGGCCTGGTGGTTCGAGTGTTTATGCAGGATATGCACAAAACAAGTGAAAATTACCACAGGCAGAACAGGATGGAATTAAATGATGATCTCCCACTTCCAGTATGAGTGCTGTAACCACTGAGCTATTGGGGAAAAAAATGGAATGCATCTTTACAAGGGTGACTAGGCATTGTGAAGTCAGGTGTTGCATTGCTCAGATCTAGCCAGAGACATAGCAGCCGAGGTCTAAGCCCTGGGTGGCAATAACAGCTGGGGCAGCAGCAGGGGCAGTTGGGCAAGGAACAGTGGTGGCTGCCATTTTTGCAGCCCCACAGAGCAGGTACCTGGGGCTGGTTCCCTGGTCGTCCACTACTAGATTGTTATGCTACTAGATCTAGCCCCTGCTGTCTCCAATTCCAAATATTAAAAAGGATTTTCAGAAGATCTGCAACTATCACCTGAGTTTTGGAAAATATGTCTTATGATAAAGGACTGAAGAAAGTCAAGTTAGATAGTTTATCCAAAAGGTTAACAGGTGACTTACACTTGACAGGTACAAACTTGTGGAAACAGCTGTTTAGCACATCAAGGTAAGAAGAGATCCAATGGATGGAAGCTGAAGCCAGACATATTCAGACTGACTATGAGGGTGCTGAAATATTGTTTCATTTTACCTAGGGATGTGATGTAACCCCCATTATTTGTAGTCTTTGACTCAAGACTGGAGATCTTTCTAAAAGGTACTGTAGTACACTCAGAAGTTAAGGGCTTGCTATAGAAATTACTGGGTGAATTTCTCTGCCTTCTGTTAACAGGAAGTCAGACTGGAGGATCATACAGTGGTTACCTCTGGCCTTAAAATGGGTGGGCAAAATACAGCCTGTGGGCTGAATCCAGCCCACCAGGCCATTTTATCTGGCTCATGGGGACCCTAAAAAAATTAGAAAATTAATATTCATCTGCCCCTGGCTGCCTGTCAAAGATGACAAAAGACAGGGGCAGTAGGACCCAGGGGAAGCCGCCAGCAGGATCAAGAGGCTGCAGAAGCAAGGCCCAGCTAGCCCTGCCTCCCCCACCCCCAGCCAGAAGCCCCGTGCTGAGCAGAGAGTTCTAGCTTGGGACCCTGGGGTTGTTCTTGCCTGCCTACGCTGGAGGGAAATACAGATAAGAAGGTGAGGGGGAGGCAGCGAACCAGCACTGAGGGTCAGGCTGAGCTGGTTGATGTGATCCCAGTCTGCAGCCAGGAGCCACGTAGTGCTGGAGCAGCCAGTGCGGGGTGGAGAGGAGCGGCAGCAGCCATAGGCAGGGAAGCTGTGAAAGGGGCAGTGAGCAGGTGCGCTGAGTGCAGTGACACCTGGGTGGGACCATGGGGCACACATTGGTGTGCTGGGGCCAGGGTTGGTGGGGCCCAGAGCAGGGTGGCAGGAGCGTGGGGCCTGGGCCAGCAGAGGCTCTAGAGCTGGGCCAGATCCCTCCTCTGCCTGCTGGTGCAGCCCGGCCTGGCTCCATAGAGCCCTGTTGGCTGGTGCTCCTGCCACCCCACTGTTGGCCCCCTGGTGCTGGCCCCAGAAAACTGTGTGAACCCCATGCTCCCACCAAGCTGTTGCTGAGCTCAGCGTGCTCACTCACTACCACTCCTCCTTGCTTGCTGCAGCCATTTGCCCGCTACTGCTGCCTCTCCCCTCCACCCCCCTGCCGGTTGCTCTGGCACCTTGTGGTTCCCAGCTGTAGTGCCGGGCCACAGGATGCAGCAGGAGCCAACCTGGCCTCTGAGATCCTTGGCTGGCTCCATGTGGTGCCTGCAAAGCCAGTCCAGCTCCTGCTGCATCCTGATGTCTCCACCATACATCTGGGATGTGGTGCCAGAGTGGCAAGCTGGGGGGGGGGACAGAGAAGTGGGGGAAGGGCAGATGGGGGGGGGGTGTGGTGGCAAGGGGCAGCACAGGGCCCCGTTGGTGTCCCAGGGGCAGGAGCGTGGAGCCCGGGTTCGGAGGAGTGCTGGGGCGGGGGCGGGCCCTGCCTGCCTGCCTGCCTGCCTGCCTGCCTGTCTGCCACAGGAGGCTATGAGCAAACCTTCCCGCTCCACACGTGCCAGCCACCCTCCCCTACATACTCACAGCCTCCCACAAACCCCCTACCCACCCGCACTCCACACATCTACATGCTCCCTCACCCCACATACACCCCATCCACACCTATCCATCCCCCACAGACCCCCACAGACACACCTACCCCCTCCCCCACAGCCCACATACCCACGCAGCATAAACCTATACCCTCCCACACCTCCTCCAACAATATACAAGCGTATGACTTAATTTTAAACTATTATACATAAATATTTGTGTACACTACACAAACACATGTAAATCAGGACAAAATATTTTTTGAAATCAAATTAATGAATGTTGTAGTAGATATTTGATTTTTAGAATATAATTTTGTATTTTTCTGGTTCTGAGATGGCAAACCCTTGCTGAAAAGAGTACTTCGGGTGGGGGGGGACACAGTAAGGGGCAGAACTTCTGATGGCAAAGTTCAGGGGTTAGGGGGTGGGACATCCAGTCCAAGATTGTCACCAGGGGGTGGGGCACCTGTCAAGGGGCGGAGCTACCCTTGCAGCCCTTGATGGCTTGCCAAAACTCGGGTAAGTGGCTCTCCACCCGAAATAATTGCCTGCCCCTGCCTTAAAATCTCTACATTTGCTGCAAAGGCAAATGTTTAGCAGTATTTATGCAGTGACAATTTTCAGTTTGACAGTGATGTGATAAATTGGCACAAGCTTCAGTAATTACTGATGCTCTTTAAGTGTCTGTTTCTGCCACTCTTAACCATATTGAATATTGTGCTTTAACATAGTCTGTTATATTATGCCATAGCAAATGATGAATGGGTCTCATTTCAGAGTACTATACTATTCACCATGAGCAGCAGAACCTGTCCTTGTACTATTATTGAAATGTTTCTGGTACAGGATGAATTAAGATTTAAAATAATGATGATATTGTCATTCTGTACTGAAGGATCCTATGGCAGAATATTTTCCATATGATAAAAACATTAGATAATTTTCCAGTCTACAACTGTTGCTGAAGAATCCTCAGCCACACTGTCTCTTTAAGAACAGATTGTCTTTAGCAATGGGGAGGCAGAGTTGGATTAGCTGGTTGGAAATGCTGTAATTTTCCAGTGTGATGTAGAAGCAGATTGCTAGGGAGAGTGACAGAAGATTTGCTGACCTCTCTCAGGTTCAGGTAAACAACTTGTTGAAAAAGGCTAGGAAAAAGTTTTCAGAATTCAGCATACTTTCAGGGAAAAAAGAATACATTAACCTGATCTGGCTCTTTCAGTAAGAAAGATGCATCGTGCTGGAATTTTTTCCCTTCACTATTTTAAACCCCGTGTGTGTGTGTGTGTGTGTGTGTAAGTATAACATGTTTCCCTTTAGCTTACTATTGCTTCTCAAAATAAAACAAAATTCAAGATACCACAGCAGGAACAGCCTATTCTTGCTGGTATAGATCAATGATCTATTGAGGTTGGTATTGTCTCTGATAAAGGCCAATGCTGGATACTTTAGAAGAAGGCAAAGCATCTCACCCTGAACATAACTATGCAGCAGAGGAGTTGCAGAGGAAATTTCTTTTTGGCTTAGCCAGTGACCAGCTTCCTTGCAAAAGAATACGTGTGTTCCTTGTCAGACATTTGCCTAATACAAGTTCTTATGTGAGGGAACAGCTCATTATTACAGGCAGTCCTCAGACTTATCATGCAATTGGTTCCTGAAAACTGCGTCTTAAGTTGAAACATCATAACTTGGAACCAGTTTTCCCATAGGAACAATGTTATAAATGAGTGATTGGTTCCTTTACGACGCTTCGTACAGCCGCGTCCAGCTGGTAGTCTGTTGTAGTGGAAGGAGAGGGGGAGGAAAGGGATGTCACGGGGCAGATCAATATGCCCACAGCAAATGAGGGATTGGGGCTGGGCCTGGGACAGGGGCTAGGGCAACTGCTGCCCTGTCGAGGCGGGAGGCATGGGACAAAGGCGCAGCTCATCTCAGGAGCACGGTGGAGGGGTGCGGGTCCTGCTGCTGCACGCCACTGGTCCGGGAGCTGTTTGTCTGGCGGCTCCTGCCGCTGCTCCCACCACTTCTCTGGGAGAGCACAGTGGGGTGTGTGCCCCCAGATCTGCACATGGTGGGCGAGGCTAGGGCTGCACCGTGCTGCACACTGGGTGGGCAGCAAGGGCTATGGGACAGAGCCACCACTGCGCTACATCCAAACAAGCGGAGAGCAGTGGTGGGAGCTGTGCCCGCCCCCCCAGACAAGCTGCACCTTTGTCCCTTGCTCTCCCCACTACCCCAGCTGGGGGGGGGTCCAGATCGGGGCAGGGGGGTTTGCACCCATTGGCCCTTGGGTCTGCACATGTCAAATATTTTCTGTCCTGAAGGTCTCAGACAAGTTAAGAGTTTGTTTTGCACCTAGTAGAGTGAGGGATTTGGGGCACCCTTGTTTTCTCTTGACCTTGGATGAAGAATTTAGTAGTGATGGAAATCAACTCGTACAAAATGTGTCATTTAATCCTGTCTTTGCCAGAGGTTGGTGGATTTGATAGGGGCTAGTATGACTTGAAGAAGAGGTTAAATAGGGAAAAATATGAGGCAGATTTCTTCAGAGCCTTGTCTGAGGGAAGAACTTACTGGGGATAATAAATTGACAATACCTGCTTCTACCACATGGTCCATGGTTGGAAATCTTTTGTACACAGCTGTGCTCACTGAGCGGAAGATGAGCAGGGAAGTTAAATTCACATAGCGCATCAGAGTCCTCCGAAGTAAGCGCCCATATTCATCCTGTCCCTGAACATTGCTAGAGATCAAGATCATAATTCTGTCTGGCCACGGCAGATTCACAAACTGGTTCCACCAGCGGTTCACCACCAGCGTAACGTAGAACCCTGTGGGTAAAAGTATATCAATGTCATAAGAATTAAAATCTTCCTGTAAAATTCACACCTATTTAGATATTCTAATGCTTAGTTGAGCTTCTGTTTATATTGTAGAAGTTATCCATATCAGGAAGTCACTGTATTTCCAGAATCATTACTGTAGTGTAAAGTATACACAGCCTGCTACTGTTAAAGCCTTTTAGTAAGCAGATATTAGTTCATTGTGCCAAATTCTGTTAGATATTGAGCAGATCATGGAAAATGCTAAGCACCCACCCATTCAATTTATGTCTGCATGGGCTGAGGGAACTCAGCATTTTGCAAGATCAGGCCTAAATTATTTTTTTTAACACAGTGCAATTATGAAAACTTTAATCTCTCATTAGTAAATTCATGACTCAAGCATCTGTGGTGTTCATTTGACAACAGCAATTTGACTGTAAGGCGACATTAATGGGTGATTATGGTTTTATTGTGAGCCACTGTGTTCCCACATGCGTTCAGCTCTGAAATGCTTCCATGCACAGCCATTTATGTCACCCTGGGAGAGGCAGCTTTGTGCGTTCTTTCCACATGTAACCTATACTTACCAAGCACAAAGGTTACTGGGATTTGTTCAGCATATTGGTCACAGTAAATTGATAATTTTTCAAAGAACCGTTTTTGCCTTCCTGTAAGAAAAAATCTGTAGCAAAAATAAAATGTATATATCCCTTGGTAACATTTCTGCACCCTTTCAGGTATAAAGTGAAAACAATTAAGAATAAAACACCCCATCACTGCAATGAGGAACAGCTTTGGCTAATGCACAGAGGTGAATCTTTAAAGAAATTAAGCTTATGAATATTTAAAATGTTAACATTTGTATCATGTAATAAAGGAGCTGGAGACAAGAAGGAATATTCTCTGATCATTAAATTCTTCTCATTTCTAAAGCAAGTCATTATCTACTTGTGCTATTTACCTTAGAATGAATGTGGCCCCTAACACAGATCAATGATCTTGGTGTGAGATACTTCAGCAAAAAGATCATTCTCTCATTTGTCAACAAGACCATTTAATAAAGTGAGCTGATCAGATCTGCTGGAACTACAAAGGGGTACTAAATCTATAACTTTCTGTCATTTGAAAAGGTTGCCTTTCCACCGCAGTGGTTTTTTCTCATATTTACTGCTAAAGTATCTTATCTTGGCCATAAGTTAAAAAAACATTTTAAAAGTATATAGAAAGTACACTGTTAACTGTATGTTGGGAAAAATGGAGCACAATAGCTAGTTCTGAAGCAGAAAGATATATAATGAAATACAAAATGTTAATGTATAGACAGTTATTTTATTTATGCTATATGCCTCACACATGTTATTTGATCTCACAGAAAAGAGTGACCTAGAAAATACTTAGGTTTTTGGTTTATGTTTATTTATCTTATAAAATAAGATTTGCTGATCATGTAGGAAGATGTCCATAGTGAACACTGACTTTACTGCTTTAAATGGATTAAACATTCAGTAAGATTTTTTTTTTTTAAAGAATTAATAGGTTTCAGTGTTGTTTCATTACATGCTAATGACTCAGTCTTGTTACAGATTCATGTATTTTTTTTCTTGGAAAATTAGTGATTGCCTATATAAAAAATGGAGTCTGAAGAATTTGATTTACAAAACCAGAAAAGCTGTTGAGTTCCAGTTAGAGATCCGAAGCAGGAGTGCACTTTACTAACAAAAGTCTGTATTTGATTAAGAAATCTAGTTTTCATGGAGATTGAAATTCACCCTATTTCTGGGGACTAGCACAGGCCTCACCTACATCACAGTTGGGGATTTCGTTGGGACTAAAGTATAACACAAATCTTAGGCTGGCCTCTGGCATAGGAGTGAATAACACCTTGACCTAAGTATTGATCCTGCCATAGACTGCTGTTGCATGCCTCCTGTGAGGTAGTCGCTGCCTTCGGCTTCCATCAAGCTGAGGCTTGGACCCTTAAAATTTAAAGGCTTTATTGCAGTCTTTACTCAGGGCAACTTGACTTCTGGTTGCCTGAGAGAGGATGGTATAACCAGAGCAAAAAACAGCTACCTCTCAGAGTTCCTTGTGAAAATGCCATCTATTTGCTGGTGATGACATAGTTCTCCAAGCATGACAAGAAAATTAGACTTCACAATTCAAAAAGAAGCATTTAATCAGAGCAGAGTTAGTGTGGCAAAACCATGTAACATGGGAGTCCATGAAGACATTTATTTGGGGAACAAAATATATGCGATAGTCATCTGCTAGCATGAGTCTGAAATTAGAATCATTTGAACATGATGGTTAGACAGTAATTAAAAATTCCTGAAAATTATGTAAGAGATAAATAAAACAAATGTGGTAATGAAAGGACATTAAGAAGCCCAAGCATGGAAAAAAATGTACCTGTATAGTACACTTATCCCTGTATAAAGAGTAATAAAGACAAGAAATTCCCTGTACAGCAGTTTGTAGATGCTGCCTTTCCACTTGAGGAGCAATCTGTGAAATCCAAAGAAAGTGGCATTTGCTACACTGCTGGAGTAAGTGACTGTCATCTCCTTGGCAGGCTGTGCCTAGAAATGTGAAAAAAAGCAAGAAATCAACAGTCTCCTAACCCAAATACAGTCCCAGATACTTCTGTGACTTGCAGATTAGATTACTGCAATGCTGTCTATGTGGGGTTACCCTGGAAAACCATCCAGAAGCTACAGCTAATGCAGAATGCGGCTGCTTGCCCGCTGGGCAGTGCCAGCTGAAGGGAACATATTACTCCTGTTCTCCACAGACTCTCCTAGTGTCCAGTATGTTCCATGGTGTCAGTCAAGATACCAATAGAAATGTCACCAAAAATGGAAAAAAAGGCACAAAATGGCTCCTGCACACACATTTTTGACCAGCTGTGGTAATGACACTAATCTATATGCCCAATGTGATTGCAGGATTATCTTTGTCATTATCAGCCAGTTCAACAGCTGAGATCAGCTAGGAAATTCTTCTAACAGGCCTATTTTTTATGTTAGATGCTAAGACATCCTTACTGGTGCCTTCCGCTCCTTCCTCTAGAGTGTAGTGCAACAGTGCAGTATTCAAGTTAACCCACAATGCCAGGTCTATGGTTTTGTTTTGTTTTTTTTTTTCAGTTCTTCCAAGCAGATTGGGTAGAAAGCTCTGTATTTGATGGTGGGGTGAGTTCAGAGGTAAGAATATTTTCCTGTAGCCTTTGTCAAGGTGTTGACTTGTATAGATATTTACACACCTCACACAGTGATCCATGTACTTTTATACATTTTGAAATAACAAAATACAAATATGGACAAAAAGCAGATTTCTGTGTCATTCTAGAGGGAAAGCAGATATGTCAATAAGTCTCAAGTTGATTACTGAGTGAGACGTTTGTGCTGGTTTAGCATAAATACCACTTTTGCATATAGTTTCTCTTCTCACTTCTGGTTTTTTACTTTTAGAAAAATATTACTAAGGTAGAATTAAAAGAATGCTTGAATACACCTTATCTAGGCCTCTAATTCTGAGTATAACAATAAGCCATGAAAATTGTCTGTTTTTTCTTTTTGTCACAGAAAAAAAATCAGCAGGGAAAAGGATACCCAGAAGGATTCAATTTCTGACAGATTATCCCTCCTGAGCTTGCTGAGTTGTGCAGAGAATTTCTGCCTCAGGCCTGGCAGCTTGTAAGAAACCTGGGAGGTGGAATTTTTATGCCTTGGCTTCTAAATCAGAGCTCTCCTATTTTTCACATCCCCATTTCCAAGGAACTCTGAAGTGCAGCTAGAGAGCTAAATTGTGGCTGATCTGGGACCAGATCTGCATGCCAAAAGAGCCCAGGATTACAACAGGAATTAAAATGGAAACTATCAGCTTCAGTTCTGCATAACAATCAAGCCTGCAGAAATGTGGCTTCAGAAGCTGGTTGCAAAGAGAGACCCTGTGTTCTGCCCTAGAGGTTATGAATGGGGCAACACATCTTTCTTATGGGAGCCTCAGAGAAACATCCTATCTATAAGTAGCTATATATAGAAAAAAGACCTGATAGTTGGAGGTTTTTCAACCATGCTGACAGAAGTATAACAGATACAATGGCTGAACTAGAAATTAGACGGTTTCAGTCTTGAGGAAAGATACCATTTCCTTGGTACGAGGCTAATGAAATATCAGAACAGCTACAGCTGGGACAGGGTGAATTCAGAGTCAGCGAAATAAGACATCTTTCTAAAATACATGCTGTAACCTGTTTTTGGGGAGAAATTCTTCAGCTTGTATGTGGGCTGGATGTATGTAGCATTTTCTTCTAGTCTAGTATCTGTGAATCTGTGGGCATGTCAGTGCCACTTCTGAAGCACTTCTGGGACTGCTTCTGAGAAGTATGTCCCACCCACCAGCTCCATCATCCCAGAAATGAGTCAGACTGCTTTAAAAACACTCCTGCCATTGCTCTTGATCTCTCTGTTTTCCATGTGCTGGAATGTGGCGGAAAGAGACACCGTAAGTAAGTTTCACTGCCTCATTTCTGAATTGGCATACACAGAACAGGACTGATTGGGTGACTCTTCCTGGTATTGCCACGAGCACCCCCAGTTCAGGATAGACATGTCAGGATAAGCTCAAGATAGAAGCAATGGTCTTAAATTGCAGCAAAGGAAATTTAGGTTGGAGATTAGGAAGAACTTTCTCACTATGAGGTTGGTTAAACATTGGAACAGTCTACCCAGAAAGGCTGTGGAGTCTCTATCCTTGGACATTTCTAAAAGAATGTTAGATAGACACTTGATAGGGATGGTTTAGTCAGGGATGATTCTACATTGAGCAGAGAATTGGAATAGATTACCTACTGACAGCCCTTCCAACCCTACTATTCAGTGATTCTATGTCCTAAAAATCCTTTTGTTCATCTTTTTCTTCATGGGCCTTGCAGAATACAAGTTTGTTTGCCTTGCCCATAATATACTTACTAGGCCTGTGCGAGTAGGCAGCTATTCGATCTGGCTTCAGATCTGGCCACTTTGGATACCAGCGATCCAATCCAGAGCTCTGGACCAAGTTCCCTCTTCGATCCGGCTGAAGCGGCTCTGAGGCTTTGGAGCTGCCTCAGAGATCCAGCCATAGGGTATAATGGGGAATCAATTAAATATCTATAACTTTGTTGTTTTTTGTCTGATTTGGATTAAACTGGCAGGGGTGGTAGCCCCTGGTGAGGCCACAAAGCTTACCAAGTTTCAAGAAGATAGGTGCAGGGGTTTGGGGAGAACTGCACCTCAAGCTGCTGACAGGCAAAACTCGTGACACAGATGACCCTGTGTGTTAAGACACAGTGGGCTGAAAACTGCAGGTGTGGTGGCCCCTGCTCAGGCCACGAAGCCTGCCAAGTTTCAAGGAGATAAGTGCAGGGGTTTGGAGGGAACTGCACCTCAAGCTGCAGACAAGCAAAACTCGTGACGTGTGGTACTGTGTGTGTTAAGGTGTAGTAGGGTGAAAGCTGCAGGGATGGTAGCCCCTGCTATGGCCACAAAGCCTGCCAAGTTTCAAGGAGATAAGTGCAGGGGTTTGGAGGGAACTGCACCTCAAGCTGCTGACAGGCAAAACTCGTGACATGGGTGCTTGTGCAACTGTGTCTGTCTAGGGGGGAAGAGGGGGCGGAGAGACACTGCTGCAGGCCTGGCTGTTAAGCTACTGTGTTACCAGTTACCTACCAATCATGATTCACTCAGGGACCAGCTCAATACACAGTTGCTAGCTAATGTAGCCAGTTAATTAGCAATGATTAACACCTACAAACCACAGACTAAGGAGAGGAAATCATCAATACAGACAATCAACTGCCCCAAGACAGAGACAGTTGCACAAGCACCCATGTTACGAGTTTTGCCTGTCAGCAGCTAGAAGTGCAGGGCCACAGAACTCAGACCCCTGCACCTATCTCCTTGACAGCTGGCAGGCTTTGTGGCCACAGCAGGGGCTACCATCCCTGCAGCTTTCACCCTGCTGCACCTTAACACACATAGCGTCACACGTGTCACGAGTTTTGCCTGTCAGCAGCTTGAGGTGCACTTCCCCCCAAACCCCTGCATTGATCTTCTTGACACTTGGTAGGCTTTCTGGCATGACCAGGGGCTTCTACCCCTGCAGTTTTCACCCCCCTGTGGTATAACACATACACGTGACATAAGTTTTGCTTTCAGGAATTTGGGGTGCAGTTCCCCCGAACCTGCTGTTCAAACTCCTTTTGAAACTTGGCAGGTTTTGCGGCCTCACCATTTGCTACCACCCCTGCCAGTTTCGTCCAAATCAGACAAAAAACAACAAAGTTATAGATATTTAATTGATTTCCCATTATACCTTATGGACGGATCTCTGAGGCGGCTCCAAAGCTTTTCTGAAGCGATTCGGAAGCTCTGAACCACTTCAGAAAGCCTAACAAAGCCAGTGCTTTGATCTGGACATGCCGCTTCGGACGCCGAAGTGTCTGAAATTTCTCCAGATCCGAAGCATGGTCCGAAGCCTTGCACAGCCCTAATGCTTACAACATTTACAGCTCTGTAGTAAAATTATAACTATAATCAAATGGCATGCTTCAAGATGCCTGGAATCAGGAAAGATTGTTACCTTAGTGGACTATTAAGCAGATGCATTTTTTCCAATATGCTTGATTCAGAAACTGACCTCTGTTGGAGGTAGGGCCCTGGATGGGGACAACTGGTGCTTTGCAGGGTACAGGGGAATCCTCTTTCTTAATACCTTGCGGTATGTGCTGCCCACATTCTCAGCATTGTACTGATGCAGGAGCAGGAAGGAAATGTTTCTTTTGTTTAGATTGTCAGTGACCTTGGGTTCTTTTGCCTTCTAACATGGCATGATGTGTCATTCTTGGGCTGGGACCATCTGGGCACAACTCGCTTAATCAGTTCCTTGCTGTTGCTGGGGTCTTGGGCTTTTATACTTTAGTTTATCCTGTTTTTTGCTTGTGGCTCAAACCAGTTTAATTTCCTAAGGATTGAATTGCTTCAGTCTTTTTAATATTGTTAGGCTCCTAAAGGGGTTTCTGGATGAGAGTCAGTGCCCTGCAATTTATGGAAGGTCAGACTAGCTGATCTAATGGTCCCACAATATATCTATGTGATTATGTTTCACAACACAGTGAGCACAGATTTAGTGTTACTCTTGTGTTTAGCTCTGCAAACATACTCACAGTCTCCAGTTATAGCTTTTTATATAAAATACAACATAGAGCAGTGGGAAAGTATAGTATAAAATGCATATTTCATGGTTTGTGGCTTGCTTTGTAGAAACTAGGCATAAGGAGACTAGAGTGATTAGTGCTATAAAATGTATTACTAAGTTTTGTATTACTATTAATTTCGTTAGCAGGTATAAGACTGAATTTTCTGCTAGTGTAACTGAGCACCACTTCATTGACACTACACCACTTGTCCTAATGTACATCAATATAGAATTTAGTTAATATCTAGAATGCCTGGAGTATCCTTCCCTTCAGTATGTTTGCTCTCAGACTTTAGTTAGACTCCGTGACCAACTACAGTGTACTAGATATTATTTTACTCTTCTAATGTAACCAGAAGCTCTTTGGCATAAGTACTTAAAAAGCACAGATTATTGTTTTTCTATTAATATTGAACCCAGTAGTAAATGGGAATTTTGCCTGGGCAAGGCTGGATGCATTAGAATTAAAAGAGAAACAACTGCAGAAAATAATGACAAGCAGTTTCCTAATTGACTGTTCCATATACATTACAGTCTATATAAATAATGCTGATGTGCAGAAATAACCATTACATTTGTATAATTTTATTTACTTCTGCCTGGTACATTAGAGAGGTAGAGAGAGGTTCAAATCAAGTCCAATATAAAAATACATTAAGCACAGTCTGTATACACTAACCTGCTCTTCTGCCTTGGTTACCCAAACTCCAAGGGAAATCCTGGACCCCTTCTCTTTCTCAAGTGTCTCCAATGAAGTATCCTTCAGGTCTGAAATGATTGCTTTTCTCTCTTCTTCACCTTAGGTATAGGCTGACCGGGAATTGCTTCTACTGAGCCCCTCGAGAAGTGGACTGACAAGCACAGGGGTTAAATGTCTTTCCACTTCTGGAAGCCTGTTTTTGCCAAGTCTTCCCTGCTGTCAGTTACAGCCGGGAACAAATGCAAGCAGAAGCAGCAGCTGCTGATCTTGCTCTTTTCTAGTCTATAATTATAATGGCACTTGCCTTCCACAGGACCCTTTTAATTTGAATGGGGAGTCTGCAAAGGTTTGGATGGCCTCAAACCATTTATTCTCTTTCCTTTGTCTCCAAAATGGAGTAAATAAGGGCTGAGTGTTTTCCTTTGCGACTCAGAAACCATGATCAGTCTGGTCTCAGTCCTGCATAGACTTACATGCATTATTAATGTTAGTGCCACAAAGTAATTCCAAAGTAGTTTCAAAGAAGCTATATGTGGTAGTACATTTAAGCCTGAGGGTATGTCTGCAGAATTAGGGCATCTGGGCACAACTCTCCCTGCCTCCATCAGATAAATTCTGTCTTTTGTGAATCATGGTATTTCTAGGAAGTTGTTAAATGTGATAAAAAAGAGAAAGAAAACAGGAGGATGCTCCATTTACTTTAGCATTTTGTATAAAATCAGTGGAACAATATGATTGCAAATTAACTGAATGTAGCAGAGAGAGAGAGAAATGACAATATTGTTCAGACCAATTGAAAAAGGTATTTTTCTGATGAGAGCTTTTTCCCCCCTTCCCTCAGTGTCATCATTATGCATACGCCAATAGAGGAGCACATTTGGTTAATTACAACTTGTCTCCGAAGGAAATAATTTGTAGTCATCTGCTTTTTCCTCTTTCGCAATAGCTGATGGAAGACTTTTAGATATCAAAACAGGCAAGGCCATTAATGTCTGTTGTGGGTATGTTTTGGGATGAGGCAGTGGGCTCTGGTAAAACATGACAGACCTTTTTAACATTAAATGGTTTGGCCCAGAAAAAGATGCTGCCTCTTCCTATTATAGCAACTGCCTTTCATAAGAAAAATCCTATCAATTGGGGTGTTTAATAGTACTGTTTATAATACTCAGTGGGCGCATCTCTGCATTTATTAATGTGCCATAATTATGGCACATTAGGTTAGTACCTGTTATTACAGCTATAATAACATGTACTAATTTAACATGCTGTAATTGGTATTACTGCGCAGTAGCACTGGTGCACCTTTTTTAGATGATGCTAATGTGCAGTAGATTAATTCTACTGCACATTATTGCATTAGCATGGTTTTTGCCTGCTGCACTAATGCACAGTAGAATTAGTCTACTGCACATCTAGTGTCTCGTTTAGATGCATCCATTCAGACCAAAAATAATTAATCTTTGCTTGAGAACAGCCTTTGAGCAGTAACTGACACCACTTAGACAATGGATAATGGACAGGCAGTATGGGGTGTTTTTTCCAAGGTGCCCTCCAATATTCTTAAATAATGAGGAAAAACAGCCAAGGCTGTTCCATTAGTTCTAAGCTATTTTTCAGAAGACACAAGACTCAGAAATGATAGATAAAGATTCCACAGACAGACCCACTTACATTTCCATCAAGAGGTGTAAAATGCATTGCTCTCTACCACTGCAGTTCTCTCTATCTGGAGATAATTCATCCCAAGGTCAGCAAGTGATCTTACTACTCCTCTTCCCTGGAGTTCCCTCCTTTCCTAAGGTAAAGACATTTCATTTGTAGCCAGAGCTTCTGTAGGAGACTTGCTAAAAAAAGGTTGGTGACTGTGTTCTCCAACCCAGCTGGTTATACCATTTCACAGCTACTGGTGACCACATTTGGAATTATGCTCTTCCATTCAGGAAAGCCTGATTTTAGCTTTGGGGATCAATGCCATGTTTTGTGCCAGGCAAAGGAAGCAGAGATCCTGTGTGACTTTAAACCCATTTTGAAAGATATTGCATTTGGATATTTCTTTTCTGCTGTGGCATTATATTGCAATGATCATTTAGGAAAACAGGACTAGAACTGGCCTCATGGACCATTGAGTCTAGTCCCCTGCACTGGTAGGATTTCACTAACCCAAAGAAGCTACAGAATTGCAACTTCAAACTCTCACATTTCATTACAAGGCACAATGCCCAAAACACCAGCCAAGGCCCTACACCATGCCGTAAGTAGGGACCCACTGAAATTGTGATTGCAATTTTTGCGGAAACTGCAATTTTGGGCGGGCTCTGTGAAAAAGTGCTGGCTCTGCTCTTTTGGTGGACTCCCTGAAAAAAAAAAACTTACTCAGAATAAAATACTGGCTCCCTCTGGGGACCCAGCAGTCCTTGTAGCTACTGTGGCCTGGTGGCGTAGCCCGCTGGAGGAGGAAGGGGAAGAGGAGCTGCTGCCCTCACCCTCGCTGCTGAGTTGCTGCAAGTGCTGTCTGTCATATGGCCCATGCCCCTCTTCACCAATTGGCGACAAAGGGCAGGGCCGCACGATGGACATCTCTCACAGCCAATCAGTGGTGAAGGGCAGGGCCACTGGGGCCCCTCAGCCAATCAGAGGCATAGGTGGGGGGTGCACCATGCTCAGCCTGGAAAACTGGCTGCAAGCCTGGGCATCTTAGGATCAAAGGCCAAGAGTGCAAGCCTTATAAGGAGAGACTAAGGGACAAGGGACTCTTTATCCTGGAGAAGAGAAGGCTCACGGGGGACTTGGTGGCACCCACGTATAGGTATGTAAGGGGGTGCACCAGGATCTGGGAGAACAGTTGTTCACCAGGGCTCCCCTAGGGATAACAAGGTCTAATGACCACAAACTTCTGGAAGGCCGATTTAGACTGGACATAAGTAAAAACCTCTTTACAGTCTGAGTGTCCAGGGTCTGGAACAGACTCCCCCCAGAGGTGGTGCATGCATCTACTCTGGACTCTTTCAAAATGTGTTTGTTTGATTATCTTGCTGGGATCATATGACCTCAGCAGACTTCCTGCCTAAGGCAGGGGGGCTAGACTCGATGATTTCATGAGGTCCCTTCCAGCCCCTAATATTTATAAATCTATGAATCTTCCCACTGTATTGGCCAGCAGCTGGCTTGAGTTCAGTAGACTCTTAGCCATAAGTCAAAGCAGGGGAGATAAGGGCACTGCCAGTATCCTGTCATTGCAACAACAGGGAAACAATTGGTAGACCATTGTGAGACAGGTTAGTTTTACTCTGCTGCTGATGTGTTTTTGCAGTAATAATCCCACTTAGCAAAAAGGAACCTCAAGTTCAGACATTTGGTGTGTGTGCTTGGCTGCAGAGCAAGTGAAGCAAAGCTACCTTCTCTAGGGTAATGATTAAATTTCTCTAAGTCGCACAAACATATTGAGACCAAAGTACCATGGATCCTCCATTGAACTCAAGTAGCTGGCTGTCTCCATCCAACTCATGTGGCCAAGTGGGGGAGCCACTGTAGAGAGGCACATATCTCAGAATTGAAGTGTGGACAGAAGGGAGCCACCTTTTACACATAGTGCACTACATGCTCACAGGAAAGGTGGTATTAAATAATTTGTAGAAGGCTTGATCAGAATCAGGGGCTTGTATGTAATCAACACATTTCAGGTGGGTATTAAAAGCTCACACTATTCAAACTAACTTCTTTGGAACAAGGACTAATTTTTACTGCATTGTCTGTACAGTGTCAAGCATAAGGTTTTAGCTATGATGATAACACCTTCTAAACAGAAGTGGAGGGTTTTGTAAGAGTCAGAGTTCTGATATAAACATATAAAGTATTTTTTTAACTGAACATTTCACACCAGGGCTGTTAAAGCAGTTGCAGGTTGTAATGATGCATCTGACTTTATATCTATTGTAGGACTGCTAAAACCATGAGTTAATACAACATTAAGAAATGTCTTCAGCTTTCATTGGCAGAATTAGTTGAGAAAAACAAATCCTGAATAAAGATGAGGGTTTCAGTTATTGACTGGTGTGGCTAGAGATGTGAGAAAACAACGTTGAGACGCAGGCTAAGATGCAGAACATGGTTGCTTCTTCTGGGTGGAATTTGAAACATGTCTGTTGTGCTTTATTGTGTCATTAAATTTGCAAGGGAGAGACAGAGAAGATTAATCTGCTGCCAAGATTTTTCCTTTTGCTGTCTCTCCTCTGAAATGGAAATACCACATTTCACTGAAAGACACCAATGACCATTAAATTTATTAAGTTATTAAATTTAACTGACTTTGCTGCTGATACAACAAGCTGTATAGTAAACTCTCCAAAACCTAGAATAATGGAAAAAGACTGTAAACTGCAGTTCAGAAAGTCAACACTAATAAAAAAACACAGGGGCACTTTCTTCCTAGCATTTAAAGAAAGAAACATTCAATTACTAGTGAGAGAACAGAACAGCTACTCCATCTCTGACCACACAGGCCTTGTGGTCAAAGGAAACCTACACAATACCTTTAGAAGATAGGCATGGGAAGAAAAATTCATAATTTTACTAGCCATTAAAACCATAGATTAAACACAGACAATTTTTTTTATGTCACATTACAACTTACCTCTTTTGTCTGGTAATCTCTTTGTATTCCACAGAGTATAATGACCCTTTCAAATGGTTTTATTCTTTTACATAATTAGGTTTATCTATTTCACCTATTTATAATCTATCTGGTAGAATGTACACTTGTGTTTAAACTGGTAGACTCTATAGCCTTATTGTATGCTTTTAGCAAAAATGATAAATTATGTTGTTATATATAATTTTTATTTATTCTTTTAGTGAACACTGTAAATAAACTACTACTATTACTACTATTTTGCCTGCCTTTTACTTGGTTTGTAGCTACTTCTAATACCTTCTCTTTGCTCCACAGGTGTACTCCTCTCTTTCACTTCTTTAAATGATTGTTTTTATTTGCATAAGTCATTGCTTTAGCTGGTATTTAACTTTGGCTGCTTCTGCATCTTTTCTAGACCTGAAGAAGGGCACTCTGCCCAAATGTTTGCCTAGTATCTCTTCTAATTATACAGCTGGATCAATAACAGGTTTTACCAAATATATCTTGCTTCTCATTTATTCCTTGGACTATCAAGGCTACAACCTTACTTTGGTTATGATCAAAAGATCATATAGACTATTTCAAAACTAATCTTATTTCTATGGAACGTTAATTCAAATGAATGTGACATGGAGACAAAACAGGTAGGAAAAACTTTGCCTAAGATTCATAGATTCATA